TTCTTGCATAGATGGCGAGGTTCTTTGGAAGAAGGATTTTGAAACAGAAAGGTTTGTCCAATTCGAAAGTTTTACATTTCAACAAATTTCCTCTATACCTGCTGCCCTTTGAGAAAGGGGTATTATTGATGAATTGCATTTTCATGCACCTTGCAGCTTTGAGGCTCAGCAGGTAATTCAACCTCCTGGCAGTGATTTAATATATGTTGTAGGATTTACTGCTGCATCCCAGTTTGAGATGTATCAAATCAATGCTAGGAATGGAGAGTTGTTGAAGCATGAAAGTGCAACTTTTTCTAGTGGGTTTTTGAGAGAAGTTTCACTAGTTTCTAGCGAGACAGTTGTGGCTCTTGATTCCACAGGGTCAATTTTGCTTACAATAAGTTTTCAAAATGGAGAAATTAGTATTCAACAGACACCCATTGCAAATCTTGTTGAGGACTCATCAGGACCGGCGATAATGATACCTTCATCAATCCCAGGAATATTTGCAATTAAAACAAAGTCAGTTACTATATTTATTAGAGTGATAGGTAAAGGCAAGTTGGAAGTGGTGGAAAAAACGAATCATGAAACAGCTGTTAGTAATGCTCTCCCAATCTCTGAGGGCCAACAAGCATTTGCATTGGTTCAACATGCAGGCAGTGAGATTCATCTTGCAGTGAAACTTGCACATGATTGGGATGATAATTTGCTTAAAGAAAGCATTAAAATGGACCAACAAAGAGGGATTCCCCACAAGGTTTTCATAAATAATTACATCCGAACTGATAGGTCTCATGGATTTCGGCTGTTAATTGTGATGGAAGATCATTCACTGTTGTTATTACAACAAGGTGCGATTGTCTGGGGCAGAGAAGATAGTCTGGCATCAATAATTGATGTAACAGCTTCAGAACTACCTGTTGAAAGGGATGGTGTATCTGTCGCAAAAGTGGAGCACAACCTCTTTGAATGGCTTAAGGTATGGTTATGAATCTTTTAAGGTATTTTTTGTTTGCGTTTCAACCAATGGCAACTGTGGACTGCATGATCTAACTCTTTTCCTTTATTTTAAGAGATTAATAGATATTTAATTATTGGTTTTGTTTCTGATACATGTTGAATTATCTTACATATGAAGTCTTTCATGTGGTTCTAAAATTAGAAAGAATGTGTGTGTGTGTGTGTGTGTGCCATTGTGTGTGTGTATATTTAGTTTTACAAACATGAATCACCTACCGTCAAAGCACACATAACTTTATCCACTATTTAAAAATGGAATAGAGGATGCATTTTGACAACGTGATTTTGACAAGATGCTCTCCTTTTCTTAAGGGACATATGCTGAAGCTGAAGGGAACACTAATGCTTGCAAGCCCTGAGGATGTGGCAGCCATACAAAGTATGAGACTAAAAAGTTCTGAAAAGAGCAAAATGACCCGAGACCACAATGGATTCAGGAAACTGCTCATAGTACTAACGAGGGTAGGGAAACTTTTTGCTCTGCATACTGGAGATGGACACGTTGTCTGGTCTCACTTGCTACACAAGTCGGAGGCATGTCAATCTCCAATAGGATTAAACTTGTATCAGTGGCAGGTTCCTCATCATCATGCTCTGGATGAAAATCCATCTGTTCTTGTGATTGGCAGGTGTGGTCCAAGTTCAGATGCACCTGGTGTACTTTCTTTTGTCGACACTTACACAGGAAAGGAGCTTAATTCTTTAAGTCTCGTTCACACTGTTGTGCTAGCTATTCCCCTTCCATATACAGATTCAATAGAACAGCGACTCCATCTGCTGATCGATTCTGATAAACATGCACATTTATATCCCAAAACTTCTGAGGCTCTCAGTATCTTCAAACGTGAATTTTCAAACATATACTGGTATTCAGTGGAGGATCATAATGGCATCATCAAGGGGCATGCTTTAAAGTGCAAGTGCACTGGTGAAGTAGCTGATGAGTTCTGCTTTGACACAAGGGACTTGTGGTCAGTTGTGTTCCCCTCGGAATCAGAAAAGATAATTGCAACTGTCACTAGAAAATTGAATGAGGTAATGCATTTCTCCCTTCCCCATGCTGTTTTCTCAATGACTTCTGCTTATTTGTCAATCTGCATGGTGATCTTAGGAGTTTTCCAGACTCAATTGCATCGTATAGCATTATTGCATTAATTGACCACTTCCTTGAGTTATTTTTTGTCATGCACTTCTCAGCTGAAGACTTTTGACAATTGCATGAAACTTGTCACTTCATTCTCATCTTCCTATAGACTTCCTTAAATAAATAGTATATGATTTTGGTGCTTTAATGCAATTGGTTAGTTTCATTTTTTTGGAAGATAGGTAAATGTGGTTAATTGACTTGTTTCAAAATGTGCATATTCTTCTCTGTGTTTTGAATTTTTTACTACTGGTGCCATGTTGGGAATGCTGCATGTATAAAACATAATGCATGCTTGTATATTTGAGTTTTCCAGGTGGTACATACTCAAGCAAAGATTATAGCTGACCAGGATGTCATGTATAAATATATATCAAGAAATCTACTCTTTGTGGCAACCGTTGCACCCAAAGGCAGCGGTGAAATTGGATCTGTTACACCAGAAGAATCATGGCTGGTTGCATATCTTATTGACACTGTAACTGGTCGTATATTGCACCGAGTGACTCATCATGGTGCACAGGGCCCTGTTCATGCTGTAAGTTACTTATTCTCCCGTATTGGTGTCGTGAGATGGTATGAGAAGGATGCAATTGATGATGCTTATTATTCATTGTAGGTGTTTAGTGAGAACTGGGTTGTCTACCACTACTTCAATCTTCGAGCGCATAGATATGAGATGTCAGTCATTGAAATTTATGACCAGTCTCGGGCTGTAAGTGGACGAACTTGAATTGTTTGTGTTTGGTTGATTATGTTACTCCTTCAATGAAATTTATCTCTTCCCACCTAAAATGCCATCCACAGGACAACAAAGATGTTTGGAAGCTTGTTCTCGGAAGGCACAACCTTACTTCACCGATTTCTTTATTTTCTCGACCAGAGGTCACAACAAAATCGCAGTCCTACTTTTTCACCCATTCAGTGAAATCTATAGCTGTGACATCAACAGCGAAGGGTATAACTTCCAAGCAGCTTCTCATCGGTACAATTGGTGATCAGGTAAATTAAAAACTTTCAGAAAGAATTAAGTCGGGAGTTGTCTGCAATGCTGGATTATGAGTTGTTCATGTTTCCTTTACACGAATAGTATTAGAGTTGATGCTTCTGACTGCATTGTGATCGCAACCCTATTTTACAGGTTTTGGCTCTTGATAAGCGTTTCTTGGATCCTCGTCGATCAGTTAATCCTACACAAGCAGAGAAAGAAGAAGGCATTATACCGCTAACCGATTCGTTGCCATTCATTCCTCAGGTTTGTTTCCTCCCAGACAATCTTTATCTCTTCTTCATTTAATATATATATATATATACACACACACATACATGCCTCTTCTCGAGAGATGCTGTTTTGAGATGCTTGATTAGTATGCATGTAAGCATGCACTTAAGGGCGGTAGCAGATGCTGAAACTTGCCAACCATGGGCATTCTATGAATTTAATCCCGCTTTTTCTCTAACCGATGGCCATCGATGAATTGTTTCCAGTCCTATGTTACACACGCTCTCAGAGTGGAAGGTCTTCGAGGTATAATAACGGTACCAGCCAAGCTGGAATCGACAACGCTCGTCTTCGCACACGGAGTGGACCTCTTTTTCACTCAGCTCGCACCTTCAAGGACTTACGATTCCCTCACGGAAGATTTTAGTTACGCCTTGCTCCTCATTACAATTGTGGCGCTCTTAGCAGCCATCTTCGTAACATGGAGGTTGTCGGAGAGGAAAGAACTACAAGACAAGTGGAGGTAAAATTAAGGTTCTACTCGTTACATTTGTGTATTAACACATTTCCTTAGATGACAGAGATCCTTAAGGATTTGAATTAGAAGGGTTTCCTCCTTGACTTGTAATTCCCTCAATTTCTATTTTCCATTGCTATGTTTTAACAATTTAGTTTCTTATGGTTAAAATATTATTATCACATGCATTGATCGTGATATTTTTTAATTTCACAAACAATATTAAATAATTATCATGTCTTTAAAATATTTTTTTCTACTACAGTGATATATATATATATATATATATATATATATAATACATTTTATTTTTTGTAAATGGGCAAAAACTATTTAAATTAATGAATATTTTATAAAATTTAATTATTGGAGATGAAACTGTAGACGATTTTGCTCGACACCCCAAAGTAGTTTTTTTTTTTTTTAATTTTCTATTTGAGGTTATATAAAGTCATCATTTTTGCAATGATGTTAATTATCATTTATAGTATAGGTGGCAGATACGTGAAATTATGTAATACTTACACCGTATGAAGTACTATGTTATATATATTAACATTGCGTATTTAAATCCATCATATTTAGATTTTGATGACTCGATTAGGCATATTTCAATTATTGATTGTGTTATACTTTTCTAAAAAAAACACAAGTTTTTAAATATCAAATAAACAAAAGTAGAGAACTTCAAAAATATAACATGACTGTAATCAAAATCGATAATTTAAATTGCTTTTTTAAAAATAAAATAGATCTTTATTAACGGAACGAAACATGTGAGAATTTAGGTTTACGAACTAAATCAAAGTTGGGGGTTGACAAAAGCCAACACAAGATGGTAGCTATCGCTAATCAATACGACCAAATATATTAATACAGAAATGAACCCAATATCGTCATGAAACGGAATAATTGTTCCAAAACTAACTCATAACAATAACAACCATCTTAATTTGTACCAGCAGATACAGACACGACGGCACTAACAGCCATGATTCAAACTCATGCTTCAAAACACATTATATTGTCCGTTCTCTGTTTCTACTCCCAGTAGCTGCTAGAGAATGGAATATAGAGTTATTCGAGTGAGAACCAAACCCTTTTGAGAACTAAAAAGGGCAGCATTTAGGTTTTACAGGCCTTACCATGCACCTACCATATTCTTTTCATGTTCTATGTAGAGCAATGAAAAAATAGCAACTTTGAGTTGCGAAATATTACCGGTTTTATGCCTTGAAGCTTCATAAAGCATTTAAGCTTTTCTTAACCAAGGCATCAAAGTGCTTGACTTTGCCTGCCGAAAATTGCACAAGTTGAATGCTGATCGAAAGAATGCAAGTTCCCCAGTGGACGGAATTAATGCATTTGAACTGAATATGAAGACGAATGTGGTTCAGTGGTGCTATCAGCATATGCAATCACCACTATCTCATGAAGTTCGATGACGTGACCGTTCCTTTCTAACAGTAAGCTTCTTCTGACGCTTGCTCCCGGTTAGTTTTACCATCCCAGATGAGGGAGTTCCCCTTCCAAATTTCAGGTCCTCACCTCTAATCATGTAGATATTTCTTGCTTCAGGTGCGCAAAAATCAGCAGGGTTTCTATTAATAGAGCAGATTTCATTCTCCGAACCACTTTTTGGATGGAAAAGAGTACCACACATAGTTCGACCATCCCGCTTCTGTTTGTTTGCACTCACTAATGCTTGAAGCTGTGTCCTGAACATCATAAAATCAGATGTGCCAAGCACCATTTTTGGCAAACCATGAACAGTACACGTTCGACAAGTATTTAAGCCACTACTTGAAGATGCATTTTTTTTTGATCTGCAATTTTTATTCTGCCTTCGTGAATCTGAGCATTTCTTCTCTTTCTCTCTAGAATTCAGTGATAATTGATCCGTAAAATAACTTGCCTTCTTGAAACTTTTATCATGCGGAAATGATGTAGAAGGACTGGCTGCAGGTGTGGCAAACGTACATTCGCAAAAACTCTCGGGTAGATGGCTTTTACCATAACAATCATAGGTTGGATGTTTCATTGAATTGGTCCTATCTCCCCGAGAAGGCAGGCTCGAAAACACTTTAGAGTGATGATGACCATGAGAGGAAGTTTTCTTGACAAATCCTTGGTTCCCATCCACATTAACCAGTGCACCTGACTGTAACCCTGCATCCATCAGGCTGAGTAAATGCATGGCAGGTATGGTTTCATTGGAATACAGATCAATTGACCCCATCCCGTTATGTTTGCAAGCAAATGGGTAATCTGCATGTGTCCTAAGGATTTCCGAATCAAACTTCCTAGCATGTTTTTCAAAACTTGAAGCCTGATTTAAGATATTCCTATCATCATTTCCACTCACATTTCCCTTAGACAGATTTCTATGGCAATGTGAAAGCACATCGACATTGGCCACCTGATCTCTACACCTCTGAGGAATCCCAAATAAATAGGGCATGTTATTTGGAGCACTCTGACATGAATTACAAACTCCCAATGCCTGCACACTGGCCTGAGGGGACCTCTGCCCAACCATGTTCCCAATCGACTGCCAATTTTGTGCACTGTTTTGCCGGCTGGAATTGGCAGCAGAAATTTGGAATCCATTCAATGGCTTCTCTCTACATAGAGGAAAAGGCTTAAAGCTGACGGCGGAAAAACTTTGTTCCAATTGGCTCATATTGTACCGACTCCGGTCCAGATTGTGCATATCATCTCTTTCAATTTTGCCAATTTTTCTGTTTTTAGCCCGGGGTTTTGGTTTTTGAGGGGTCTCATGAAGCAGGCTCATCTCTTCATTTCCATATACTTTATTAAGATCCACCCTGATCTGATGACTTATGGTGTTATTGGTTGTTTCCAATGATTGTTTATCAATTTCTCTATCTGGAAGACACCTCTCATACTGATTCTTGGCCATGAGTTCAACAATCTCCATGGGTATGTCATCTGAAGCTCCTTGCCCAGATGCCCTTTCAGCTCGTTGATCATAATTCTTCCTCGCAATTGCTGAGTAGTCCTGAAGCTCCACAGATTTCCCGTTATTGCTTTTACCACTGAAATCCTGTTTAAAAGGGGTAAAACGATTACAGAGAAACATAGGGTAACACTAACACCTTCCCTAAAGGTTAGCTATATGCTTCCAGGTATATGTGTAACCCACTTAAAATGGTCAAACACACATGACTCTTTATGTAATCAATTGCAGATAATATATAAGATGGTATGAGCTTATAGCTGAACCAAAATGGTAAATGGACTATGGATAAAAGCAGTAGTAGTTCCATGGTATAACCAAAATGAAAGCTTGAGGTTGGAATAAGAATAAGATAATAATGTCACTTTTCCATGAGGACAAGTATGAAAGTATAGTAGATCCTCAATTTTGTGGACCTGTTTTCACCAAAATTAAGGAGTCAACTTTTAAAGAGATTCTTATATCTCCTCCTGCAGAATCCCATAATCCAGACAAAAGTGTCTTAACCTTGTTTGATTAATAACTCATCTTCAAATTCAAGGTCATAAAGAAGGGAATGTTTCTAAGTCAAAGGCTGTTTCTAAGTCAAAGGCTCAAATGCCTAAACAACTTAATGTGAAGGCTCCAAAAATTTAAACTGAATGTTATCATAACTTGAATATTTCGTGAATAGCAAAACAGATGCAAAAATATTCTAGTTGCAGAGGACCAAAATCAAAACTTTGGGGTTGGGGGTACCAAAATTGTCCTGCCATAAATAACTTGTTCATTTTTATATGTTAATTGATAACAAGAGTAATAAAAGAAAAGCTCATACCATTTGCTGAACCAAAGAACAGCTCCCAACTTCAGCACAAGAGTAGTGTTTTTGCTTCTCTTTCAGGAATGGTATTCTGTGTGTAGTTTGGTTACTGTTGAGGTCATCCTGCATTCTCTTCCAAAGATATGCCTCCAGTTCAGATTTAAAAAGAAAACCAGAGTTCCCAACTGAATTCATCTTTAGATCTTTCCTCCCAATCTCATATTCAGTGTGAACATGCCCTTGCCAAGGCAATAGATGTGGTAACCCATCTCTGATTGGAGTAATATATTTTCCATCGTATGTTTTGGCAGGCAAGAAATTATTAAGTGAAAATTGCATTCCTCTTTCAGCTGATGCATCCTGGGCAACAAAAGACCCAGTTTGTTGTATTTCTACATCTTTCCTTGAAGTCAGACCTTCTCTGAGCAAGCCATTGTTCCAAGGAATAGGAAAAGCATGCCCATCAAGATCTTGATGCATCTTACTCTTTTTCTTCAATAGATTAGATTTTTTCTCTACCTTTTGGGCAGACTCAGAAAAGGGATTCAACTCATTGTCTTTAGATGCATCATTTGACTTGTACAGAACAACATCAGTGGCATTGCTCTTAGTGGTATCCCCAGCCTTTCTCTGTTTCTGCTTCTGGAGTTTTTCTCGAGACAAACCAACAGACAAACATTCACCACAACTTTGGGTCTTTTTGTTTTTCATCTTTCCTGCAGTGGGACTTTTGTACACCTTAAGGCTAACCAAATGACTCTTTGCACCAGTTTGTGAGACACTTCCATTAACTGTACAATCTGAATCAGGAATTGGAATTTCATCAGTAGTTTCTGCACCTCTGTTGAATGTCCAAAGATTTTTATTCCCACTATTTGGAGAACTCATTTCCCCAAGCCTCCGTGTTTCATCTTGTGGCAACTTTCTTTTTCTACTAAGAGACAAATTGCTTGCAACATTTCCTTGGAAACTGACTTGATCATGGGGAGCAGACACTGAATCTATGCCCATAGATGCATCAGGAATGGCAGTGGAAGGAGAATCTTCTGAACTTGAGAGATCATTTTTTTCATCTTCCTTTTCACCCAACAATTCAGTCAGCAGACGCACCTTGCGGATCTTTCTTCTTTCAGATGAACTTCCAAGCAATATCTCAGCACTTTCAGATGACGCATAATCACAATCATCTAATTCCAATGAAGGATATTCAGCTGTACTAACCCCATTTACCATATTGACTACTCCAAAGGGACCACGAGTTTTCACGAACTCCATCTGCTGAACAAAAGTAGAAGTATGATTTTCTGCTTGATTTGTTTCATTGACATCCTTGACAGTGCAACTCGGGTTTGACTCAGGAACAGTTTCGCCAGCAATTTCATTATCCTTTATACTGGGTTTATCAAGTTGCAGAGGAGCCACTGTTGCAAGAATAAGAAGCACGGTTATTGCAACCACTGCAGTTCTACTTTCAGTTGCAAAGCATGAAACAGATTAGCATTTTAATTAGCATATGTTCGTAGTAGACATACCTTTATTGCCTAGGTGAAATGTCCGGTTCATAAGGCTAGAAATAACATCTATTCCAGAAAACTTTGAAATATGGGTTTCTTTGCTAATGTTATTTTCTAAGAGATCTGTTTGCCCTGTAAAATTCACCAAATATAATTAATGCACGTATGTAAAAGTGAACATGAGAACAAATTGAGCAAGGACAGAAATATACCTATGATTGGTATGTTAGCAATTTTAGCTGCTTTCTCACTTTTATCACAGCTATTGACATTAACACGTGCCATAACATCAGATTTTCCTGATACAACATTAATCTTTAAAGACTGGTGCAAATCAGATAACTGAATTGTAGCACCACCATTGGATGATGACAGGTGAGGACAAGAGCCAAAGGTTTTCAATTTGCAACCATTATTAGCAAAAGTTCTCTCTTCATTTACATTGCCGTCAGACCCAAATTCGTGCAGACATCTTTGGCAGCACCACCATCTGAACTTCGGAACTAGTAAAGGAGGAAGCTTACAGTCTTGTTCTTCAGATATACTCTGGCCACCATCTAATGCAAATGGCCAGCATTTCGTCCAGTTTTTGTGGCGCATCTCAGAAGCATATCCACTGCATTTAAAACAAAAGGAAATTAACAAAGTTCCAACACAAATATTAATGTATTGCACATAGCAAGTCCTGGACTATTGTTGAAAAAAACCATTTCTATATCTATATAAAATGGAGCAAAAAGTTCACCGAGAAACCATGCACTGAATAATGGCTTACCGAATGGAAAAATGCTCACACTTCCCAGCACCAATGTGATCATTAGCATTGACGAGATCTATAGATATTGAGTCAATCTTTATTGGTGATTCTCCAGACTTGGGGACAAGATTAGAACTGCAACTCTGAGTTTCCACGACCACAACGGTACTCTCCATGTATGTGTAAACTAGTTAACATCACCAATGTTAAAAATAAATAAATAAAGCTACAGCGGAACGTTTCCCGTTCAATTCATGTATATCTGTAAAACATTTTTTAATTAAAAAATCTAATATTCAGCGCATGTATAAGCAACAATCAGCCCCCGAAAATAATTGACAAAACGGCCGACCCCTTTCAATATCCCGTCAACGTTGAATTTTCTGAAAATTTCCTTTGAGCCTGCTTTCAGATTTAACAAGTCACTACGCATGTCTCCATTTTTCTCTTCTTTCTTCACTGCAAAACGCAAATTTTGCCTCCATGCGGCGGTCTCCTCGGCCTCTGGGACGGCTATTTAGGCATTTTCTTCACTGTAAAACCCAAATGCACGGGTAGAATGTTTGGAGAAACAGGTGATCTTCGAATTGAGAAAAACCAGAGGGTAAAGGTACGGACCAGGTCATGGGTGGCGCCGCCGCGTGGGTTGAAGCTCAAAGGCAGGGAAGGTTGCGCCTGTGAACATTAGGGTTAGATGAGACGCTGAGGTTTACTTGGCAATTCGAGGATTTAAAAGGGTAGGGGAGTGTAAAAGGCAATTTGGTGGTGAAGAACCAAAGAAAGTGGTCGGGTGATCGGTTAAATAAGTGATCGATTAAAATTTTGATCGGTAATGTTATATCATTTAACTAAAAATATTATCAAGTACAATAACATATTAGGTAGCGTTTATATAATATAATAAATAACGTTTATATAATAAAATATGTATTTAATCAGAAATATTATCAAGTACAATAACATATTAGGTAACTCTTATATAATGTAATAGGTAGCGCTTATATTGACCTATTTTCGAAGTAAACCGGTATATTTATACCGGTAACATTGCAAATTTACCTATTACATTATTATTATCGGTTACGATGTTTTTTAGATCGATACAATTTTAAATGTATCGACACTTTATGCTTGCACCTGGTTGGACATTTATATTTCATTCTGGAAAAAAGTATCGACACAAACTAACGTGTCGATACATTATTTAGACATATTCTCTCATAAAACCGGTATATTTATACCAGTTACATTGAAAATTTACCTATTACATTATACTTATGGGTTTCGATGTTTCCGGGATCGATACTTTTTATAAATGTATCGACACTTTATGGTTGCACCCTTTTTGGTATTCACTCAGGACCAAAAGTATCGACACAAATTTATCAAGTGTCGATACTTTATGCGTGCACCTCGTTTGTGCATTCATCCTGGACAATAAGTATCGACACAAATTACACAAGTGTCGATACATTATGTTGACATGTTTTCTAATTAACCGGTATATTTATACCGGTTACATTGTTAATTTACCTATTACATTATAATTATTGGTTTTGATGTTTTTTGGGTCGATACTTGTATAAAATGTATCGACACATATTTATGTAGTTATTGTACATACCTAAATATGTACTACGAATTTAATGTTGTACCCACCCTTTAACTACCACTACCAATACCACATCCTATTGAAAGCAACACGACTGAAACATGTTCAATGAACCTTTGCTTACATCTCCATCAACTCCGGGACCACTGAACTTGCACAACAAAATTTTTTCCATGGATCATACTAATGTAGACAATGTTAAGCCAACCGAGGAATGCCATGAAGTACATAATGTTGATGAATCTGACAGATTGGTTGGTCAGCTCTTCTGTTCACGTGATCAAGCTTGGTACTTTTACAAGGAATTTGCACGGGAATATGGGTTTAGTGCATGTAAGGGAACAACACGGCTTGACGTGGAAGGGAATGTGAAGACACAAGAATTTTGTTGTTCCAAAGAAGGGTTTCGAGCATCAAAAGTCATTACTGTTAGTCATCAACGTGCTCATACGCCAGTCACAAGAACATGATGTAAGGCTAGAGTCGTAGTTACATCAACAAATACAAACGATCAGTGAGTTATAAGTAAGTCTTATCAGGAACATAATCATGCATTGTGCACACCTGCTATGACACCATTTATGTGTTCTAATAGAGCTGTAAGGCTGATATCGATGAGGTAACAACATTGAAAGAGGTCGGTGTTGGCACGTCACAAGTAATGAACTATTTAACGCAATAGGAAGGGGCTATCATAATGTTGGATTTACACATAAAGACCTCTACAATGCACTTCAAAGAGGTAAAGCAAAGGAAATCATCTATGGGGATGTGAATGCACTTATTGCCTACTTTGATTATAAGAAACATGATGATCCCGGGTTTTTTATGATATACTCGGTAGACGAATCAGGGGCATTGTATAATCTTATTTGGTTAGATTCTACATCGAGATCGAATTACACATGCTTCGGTGATGTAATTACGTTCGACGCAACGTACAAAGATAATTTGTATGATCGACCAATTATGCCTATTGTCGGTGTCAATCATCACCATAACACAATTGTGTTTTCCACTGCCATAATCGCTGATGAGACGTCTCAATCTTTCGAGTGGGTGCTACAGAATTTTTTAGAAGCTATGATGAATAAATCACCTATTTCAGTTGTCACCGATGGGGATAGTGCAATGCAGAGGGCTATCAAATCTGTTATCCCTTATGCTAAGCACAGATTATGTTCTTGGCATCTTTCTCGCAATGCACAAGCTAACATTGGTGACCCAAAATTTACAGCAGCATTCTCAAAATGCATGACTTCCCGGTGGACAACCGAAGAATTTGATATTCAATGGCGTTCGGTTGTTTAAGAATTTAACGTCGAAAAACATCCATGGGTGATTGAGAAGGGAAATACACGGCACTTATGAGCACAAGCATATCTAACCGGTCTTTTCTTTGCCAATATTCGCTCAACAAAAAGGTGTGAGTCTATGAATGCTTCACTAGCGATTGCACTAAAACACAAGAAGACATATTTAGATGTTGTTCGTGCAATTGAAGATGGAATTAGTAGAATGCGTATGAACGAGTTGAAAGCGGTTTACTTAAGTTCCCATACGAAGCCCTTCTAGATCACAAAACTGTTCGACCTTGAAAGCCATGCTGCTGCGATTTTTACCTGCAAATCTTTTCGTGCGTTCCAAGATGAACTTCTACGGGAGACATTGTACCGGATTGAGGCAGAGATTCAGTCCTTATCAGATGAACGTCAACATTATCTTTTGTCAAAGTACAAAGAAAAAAAATAGGAAATTTGAAATTAGTTTTGATTCTCGTACGAAAACCCTAATTTGCTCCTGCAAAAAATTCGAGACCGTTGAACTTCCGTGTCGCCATCAACTTCACATTTTGAAGCACTTGGATTACACATATTTGCCCGGGACTTTGATTCAAAGTAGGTGGACTAATGATGCGAAGGCTTCTGCACCCAATTATGTTGACTTGAATGTGTCTCCAGAAGTGATGCAAATGGCATGGTTCGTTGCTCTACGTTCAACGTCAAGTAGGTTATGCTACATTGCATCAAAGACAGACGAGTCTTTCAAAACCGCAAGAGATGAGATGAAAAGACTAATAGAAGAATTAGAAAACTCGTTTGGTTTGAATGATTCAGTCAACCAGAGCATTGTAGTAAACAACGTTCGTGACCCTCAATGAAAACAACACAAGCAAAAAGAAGTACCGAAGAACAAGGTCAAGAAGATAATTAGGCGATGTGGGTACTGCAACGGTGAGGTACATAACAAACTAACATGTCCTCAAGTCAAGCTTAGTTTGAGTATAATGTAAATTATACAAAATTAACCCTATATTTAAAAAATTTAATCTCTTAGTCTATTTTTATTGTGGATTACGAGACCGTTTAATATTTCATCTGCATCATCACATAAATGTCAAACAATTTGTAGAGTATAGTCTCCTGCAATCATGGTCGGAATCAATTTTGTAACTGAGATTATCCAGGTTAATCATGTTGACAGCATAGCCAATAAAACCTGGGGTTTTTCAACAAAGTGTCGATACATATTGTATACCTATTCTCTCATAAAACCAGTATATTTATACCAGTTACATTGTAAATTTACCTATTACATTATAATTATGGGTTTCGATGTTTTTGGGATCGACACTTTTTGAAAATGTATCGACACTTTATGCGTTCACCCTTTTTGGCATCCATTATGGACAAAAATTATAGACACAATATTAATAAGTGTCGATACATATTATAGACCTATTCTCTCATAAAACCGGTATATGTATACCAGTTATATTACAATATTACCTATTACATTATAATTATGGATGTTTTTTGGATCGACACTTTTAATAAATGTATCGACACTTTATGCGTGCAACCCTTTTGGATCGACACTCTATGAAAATGTATCGACACTTTGTAGGTTCCCCCCTTTTTGGCATCCATTCTGAACAAAAAGTATCGAAACAATACTAATAAGTGTCGATAAATGTTGTAGACATATTTTTCATAAAATCGGTATATTTATACCGGTTATATTGAAACATTACCCATTACATTATAATTATGGGTTTCGATGTTTTTTGGGTTGTTACTTTTTATATATGGATCGACACTTTATGGGAAACTTTAAGTTTGGATACATTATAGAAAACGATTATAAATATACCGATATTTCTAAGTATGAAAACTTTGTTGTGGAGATCATAGAAAACATTTCTTTAATAATGTGTTTCAATACATTTGCACGCAGATGTAAAATACATTAATAACTAATATTGATATTTCAATAATCCTCAAATGTATCTGTATACAGAGAAGCAAATATGGAATAATTAATGAAAATATACACATAATATAATCAAACCAAAAGATACATACACAACAATGTTCAAACAATGTACCGACAACGAAATTAATCCGATGAAAAAGGGTTATTTCTAACGAAGTCCGGAACATTAGGCGCCTTCAACAAATTTTCCAAATACTCTCGTATGTTCCGCCTTTATTTGAGGACATACATAAATAATTTCAATTATCAAACTAATGAGGTTCAATTTTACTAACAATAAACTAAATTCGCATAAGCATTAATAAATTTGTGTCATACCTAGAGTATTGTCGTTCGAATGGGAAGCAACGTCAAAGGTATGTGGACATATGTAATTGTATTTCTATATAAACACATAAATTATTAAAATAATCAATGTATGAACACCTGTTTAACTGAAAAAACATATTGTATAAATGCAACTTACCGGATTATAAATCATTTTTTCCGTTGAATCATCGACCAAAAGTGTATTTAGCTCGTTAAAATCAGGACACGCGTTCCAAACATCATTGAGATTGTAACATCCTCAATACCGGCTTAGTGACTAAATTGTAATATTTTAGGATTTGGTGATTAAAATGGAATAGTTAAAAATTTTAATGATTTATTTGGATATATTACCTTAAAGATGCTAGTAATTATAAAAGGTATTAAAGGGCAAAAGAATCATTTTACCAAGAAATGAATTAAAAATGGGATATGGTAAGGATTTATACACGTGTGAAAGGAGAGATTTCTCCAGAGCTTTCTTCTTTCTTCTTTTTTTCTTCT